CTCCACCCCCCATCCACCCCACCACTCCCCGTCCCCCAGGCCTTCACCACACTATGTCCATAAGTTATGCATATATACATATAAGTTGTTTGATCAATCTCTTCCCACCCACTCCCCCACACCCGCCTTCCCACTGAGATTCATCAGTCTGTTCCATGCCTCTATGTCTCTGGGTCTATTTCGTTTCTCAGTCTATTTTGTTTATTAGATTCCACATATGAGTGAGATCATGAAAAACTGAATCAGGAAGAGTCAGGAAACCTGAATAGGCTAATAACAACTGATGGAATCAAAGCAGTAATAAAAAAAACTCCCAGCAAACAAAAGCTCTGGTCCAGATGGCTTCACAGGGGAGCTTTCTACTTCTTTAAACTGTAGAGTTAGATAGTTTATTAAAATTTTTTCTTGCTTTTTGAGGTAGGTCTGTAGTGCTATGAACTTCCTTCTCAGGACTGATTTCAGTGTCCCATAGATTTTGGGTTGCTGTGTGTTCATTTTCATCTGTTTCCAGGAAGTTTTTTATTTCTTTCTTGATCTTATTGGTAACCCATTCATTGTTTAATAACATGCTATTTAGCCTCCATGTGTTTGATTGTTTTTACTGTAGTTGATTTCTAATTTCCTGCTATTGTGATTCAAGATGATTGCTATGATTTCAATCTTCTTGAATTTGTAGAGACTTGTTTTGTAGTCTATCTTTGAGAATGACCCATGTGCACTTGAGAGGAATGTATATTCTGCAGCTTTGGGGTAAAATGTTCTTCCCAATTAAATTCATCTGACCTAGTGTGTCATTTAAAGTCACTGCTTCTGTGTTGACTTTTTGTCTGGAAGATCTATCCAGTGAAATCAGTGGGGTGTTAAAGCCCCTGACTATGACTATATTTCTATTTCTCTCCCTTAGAGTCCTTAAGGTTATTATTGATAGGTCCTTATTTACTGCCATTTTAATTCTTTATGCCTATGTTTCTCTCTCCATTTCTTCTTATTATTACAGCAGTCACTTTAATATTTCTTGCAATGCTGGTTTGGTGGTGATAAACTCAGAGAGAGGAAAGGAGAGGGTGAGAGAGAGATAGAAACATCAATGATGAGAGAGTCAT